GTAGGTGGGCGAGCATGGCACCCTTGGGCTTGCAGTATTGGTATCCAGCCAACAGTGGGTAATTCAAAGCATCACAGTTTTTATTACTTACACCAGGAGGCATAAGACCCTACAGTACTCAGCTCACCATCCCTGCCTTTCCTGCAGTAGTTGCAGGAAGTCCCACTGGGTAAGACACAAGCTGGGTCCCCAGAGGGGATACAGAGCATCTCATCCACCCTCCTCAGGCTCCCAGCTGTGGAGATGTGCTCCTCCATGGCACTCCCCAGCCACCAGCCCAGTTGAACCAGTCAGGGCTCTGCACTGAGACACGTGGCCCTTGAGACCCCTTATTCTCAGGGCACAGGGCAGGGATCAACTGATCCGTTTGCTATCAGCAAGTGAGATACTACTGTGGGGTGCTTCTGACAAGTCTTTGCCAATTCCTTCTCTCTTCCCAGGCCCAAGTAAGCCGGTAGTGGTTTCACGTTTCACAACGCCAAGAGCGAGTAAAGCAGCAGAGAGTAGTGGAAGTCGTCTTTCAAATCCTCTTTATCCTTCAGCATCCCCTCCTCAGAGCTCTTTAACATCTAAAGGCAAAGCACTCAAACAGGGTTGTGTCATCTCAATTGGCAATAAACTGCCTATGATTCCATCAACAGTTTGGAGATACTTATTGGGGTTGGGGGGGCGGGGGGAGGACAGGCAGAGACAAGAAAGTAATAAGTACATTCCCAGTGCACCTAGTCAACTGATTCACAGTTGTTACATCTTAAACAAGTTAGAGGCGAAGCAGAAATTTAGAGTATTTTTAGCTCTGTAACCTAAAGGGCTAAGATAACTCCACTTGCACATGAGCTGCCTACTTAACAGACAAAAACAGACAAGACTATCTACAATCTTGACACCCTATTGTTCAAACGTCTTTGCTAGTAAGGTTTCCCCAAGCTCATTCGTTTCTGGAAATGCATCATTTCTAAAATATTTAATTATGAATGGCCTTTTTTTTTTATTTTTTTTTTTTTTAAAACAACACACTTAAAATACATCTGTAACGATGTGCTACAGATTCTTCACACAGAAGCGATACCAGTGATTAAAGTCTTAGCTTTCAACCTGTTTCCAGGCTAAAAATAAGAATTCAAAGACATCTCACTAACATCCCCTTTGGTTCCTAACTGAAACAAGGACCACAGTAGTAGACACTCCACCCAGAGCAACAGCCATTTCTACTTCAGGTACAACATGCAACACAAAACCATTTGAAAAAGTTCTTTCAGCTAACAAATGATGAGTGGCGGCAACTCACCGAACTTGAGTTTTTTCGAATAACATCCCCTAGTTTTCAAACAACATTCCTTGTAGGCTTCATTCTCAGTTACAATCATACTGACTTCCCATAAAGCAAAGGGTCTGGAACAGAAACTGCTCTGTGAGAAGGGGAATTTCAGAACACCTATCCCTCTAACACTGTAATTCCCCCTCAACTCTACAGCTCATACAAAAATCTACCATTAGCCTATAGCTTTTTAGCTTTTAAATATTATCCCTTATTTTTGGTTATTTGCTCTTCAGACTTACACCTTGCCTTTGATTTTTTCAAATGTGAGAATTTCCATACCACTTAATCTTTTTCTGCCACTTCACTCACACTGTTTCCTACAGAAATACTTTATTTTCAGAGTACATCTTCACCAAAGTACATCCACCTTTGCCTTTCACTGAGCATTACATAAACACCTATTACAGCGTAATAAGGCCTGTAAAACTGCCAACATACTTTCCTTACACAGCAGGAAGCTAGACTATGGCTCTAAATTCACCCCTCATACTAAACCCATACAGCCCATTGGAAATGCTGCGGAAAGCTGCCTTTCCAAAATAAGGTGGTATATAAGTGCATTGCTATTATCAGGCAACTTTCATCCAGGCAGTCGTTTGATCAAATTAAACTCTATGGTTATAATTATCCAATATATCATTTTAGTGAGGCCTTATCTAAGCCAAGAGTCAAGCCTTCTGCTGTAAGGTTTGGGTTTTTTTGTTTGTTTGTGTTTTTTAAAAAACAAAAGAGGTCACGTATCTATTACATACCGTTAAAAGCTCAGTCTTCAGTGCTGATATACACTATCTTGATCAATAAGCAAAAGAGTGGAGTTCAGCAACATTTCCAGTGCATGAATAAAATCATTCCAAGTAAGTGAATGTTAAGGAACAATACTCAGATTCAGCAACAAATCCATTGTTAAAAGGGGATTGTTTCTGTATCCCAAGCTGCTATAAATATATTTTGATCAGCATCTGTTGGTTGATCTTCAAATTGCTTTGCTTCCCTCCAGATTACGCAAAGGTGGTGCAAAACAGTTTCTTTGAAGCAGGAGCCAAGACAAATGACTGCTTTAAATCTCAGTGCTTGCAGAAGATTTTTAAAGCACTCACCTAAATTTACGATTAGGTTGTCATGTAAGAAATAAACTTCCAGTAGTCCTAGTGCCAGTGCACCTCTCACTATAAGGCAACTTCCAGCAGACTCAAAAGCACAGCTTCTGGGAGCAAACACTGACATAAGAAGGTCTCACTCCAGCTGATGAGGGCAACCTACTCACTAGGAAAGAAAACAACAGGAGTACCCAGCCTTTTTAAAATGCAGGCAGCTCTACTGCTCTCCTACGTGAAAAACACGTTTCACCACATCAGACTTCTCGAATAGTACTGCTTCTTTCCTTGAGGGCTGCCAAAGGTACGAGCAGCTAAGAACGGTTAGAGGGGAGATAAACGAAATGCAGCTCACGAAACCCAAAGAGAAACTCAAGATTGTGGATGAGCCAGCAAAAGAACCTAACAAAAGATTTCCATCTCCTGCTTCAAGAGCAGAGGGTCCTACTTCATGCCAAGTGTTTGCAGGAAGAGGACAATGCTTGAAGTTGATCAAGGAAGTGCTGAAGCAGAATGACTCATGAATGAGCACAGGGAAACCATCAGCCACCTTATTCTTGAAGCACAATCAGAATACAGAAGGTTGTACAGCATCATTGGCAGGCTTGGATGTCCCCATCACATTCAAAGAACTAATAAAGACGGTGGTAAGGTTGTGCATCAGGTAGGTAGAGTTTCCCTTGGCAACATTCACATATTTACTTTATGTATTGCCTACTTTATCAGAACAAATGAGGTTTAAAAAAAAGTGGTATTGCTGCTCAAGAAGCAGCATTAACTTTCCGAGTTTCTAGCAGACTCCCACATTGCAACACTGAATTTATTTGTCAGAAACTGTGCTAACTGAACACTGGATGGGTGCCTCTCCAGGTCCAACTCCCATTTGCTTCTTTCAGGGTGGGAGATGGATTCTAATGGTCTAACATTTTGCATGAGAATGCACGGCATATAGTTCTCTGCTATATCAATTTCTTTCTTACTATTAGAAAGCTATTATTCATCATGACTGCACGCGTCAATAATGCCATCTCTACACTTCAGTAAATTTAAAACACCACTTCTCTCTTCCCAGCAGTGCAGCTCACCAAGTACAATATGGGATAGCAATAAGAAGGACCTTCCTTCCCTACCCCATTCAATACATATACACTAGTCACTGTGCACGCAAAAGGAAAATCAAGTAGTAACGAAACCCTAAAAACAGTTCCCCAGAAATTTTAGTTTAAAAACACCAAGCTACACGTGTTGCTCTGCAGGTCAATATCTCCTAATTATTTCTAAAGTACAAAGTGAAATGCAGGTCACATTGAGGGGCTCAGCATTGGTCTACAACTCGTTTTTGAAGTGCAGAGATTTACACAGTATGGAGAACTGCTGATCTACTGAAATGAAGCAAGCAACAGGAGGAAAAGCTCAAGGAATATTCATTGCATAATTACACTAATACACAGCAATTTACTAGAGAGGAAAAAGGATTATGCAGTTCTGCAGCAAGCAACTTGCATTCAATGGAGGGGGGGAGAAACACAAAAAACAGCTGAGGACAAGCAGGAACTACAGCTCTGATGGTTAAAAAGCAGCTGAAGCAAAATAGCTTCAGTACTTCCATTAAAAACACCATCTTCAATAAGCCTGTCAAACATCCACCAATTATCACATTTGCCCACAAAAGAAGCCTTTTCAAGTTTTTACCATTTCAAATTCATTACACCATTGGATTTAGCTTGCAAGTAGAAAGCCGTGACAGCAATACAGATTAGTCCCACTGTGTTCGTGTACAGCTGATCTTGGTTTCCTTTCAAAAGTCACATGTGCACACATACTCATGCTCCCTCTGTGCAGGGTTTGGTCCATGGTTATGCAAACGATTTTTAATCAGCAACAGACCCAACTCAAGCCTC